AGCTCGTTTATCCCCTTAATAATTGTGGGGACGTCCACTTCCGTGGAGCGTGCTTTACTTCTCTTTTGCACTCTGTGCGATGAACGAGAAGCAGGTATATGCAATGAACGAGAAGCACGGGTTTTTGACTTATGTGGAGAGCTGTTCATGTTCAGGTCAAGGGTTCAGAGGGAGTATAAAGCGAGAGAGAATGCTATAGTTTCTGAAATAGGAGAAAGGTTTCGATCCACAAATCATGTGTTGTTCTACGGGACCCCACATATTACAACCTGGTTTGTATTTAGAATTGGAAGCGACCACACCAAAAAAGGGGAAGTGTCACCTCTAAACCTAGGCCAATACATTACTGTCATGTTTGTAAGCAAATAAGATCCAAGTACTTAATAAAGAAAACATAAGTAAACAAAACCCATAACAGCAGCAAATAAAGGATTAACATGTGCCATCTGTTGTCAGATCGACAGCTGCGTTTAGAGATAGAACCCATCAAATTCGAAATTTTAAGTAGTCAATATCACCTACTACAGTATATCACCATTCAACCTTCGTTTTTAAACTATATCATACAGTGAACCCCCGCTTTTTGCACCCCCGTTTATTGCAGATCCCCACTTATTGCAACTTTTTTGAGCAGATTCCCGCTCAACACTTAGTAAAATTGCAGATTCCTCGGTTTTTGCAGATTGCAACTTGGAAATCGGGACCTGCAATTTCCCGCTTCAGCCTTATATATTGTATATTAATCTCAAGCTTCAGAGACAGTGAGACTCGAACCAGTGACAAAAGAGATACACTATTGTATTCTATTATTTAAGAGCTTTTAAACTAAATAAGGAAAGATGTGATTGCCAGCTTATCGATCCCACTTGTGTAACATATTCACATTTTGCAGTTCCTCAGATTTTGCAACTTTTTTGACAGTATTCCCGCTGTTGCAAAAAGCGGGGGTTCACTGTAGCTTGCTATATGCATGAAGTATATGGAGTATGAAAAAGTTTAAAAAAGGTGGAGGATAATAAATACATGTGTCTCAGCATTTGGGATGTTTGTAAACAAAGGACCCGGTCCAGATGATTGAATAGACACGTATCAGTTTGTAGTTGCTAAGTGTGTAAGTAGAAATGGGTTTTTTATAGATGCTTCTGTTTACTAGGCTAACGTCGAGGTAGTTGAAATTTAACTATTGCAGTCGAGTCACTCTTGAAAAAAACCGGATATGACTTCTTTATGATATCATTTACTCGAATTCACAAGAGTACTAGCAAATTTTACCATATATGAGCGTTTTGGTCTGCTACACAAGCTATAAATGCACCAAAAAACTAACCAGGTTCATCACCACGAGCTTCACTCATTGCATCCATAACACGGATATAATGGTCCAACTGCTCGTTGAATTCTCTCATTATTTGAGCAGCAGTATCATCTGATATTCCAGAAGCCTGGGCTGCTTGTTCCCACGTCCTATCGTTGCTTCTAAGGAAATACAGATTGATAAATTTGTCTCGCTGTTTCTGCGTACAAAAATCAATACTTGGAACAACAGCTTCTCCACCTGAGAAAGACGTAGTGATGGTGGGAACAATTCTTGAAGACATAGTTCAAAAATAAGAGAAATGTGATGACAGTAATCTAGCTTTTAAAAGAATTCTCTCCATCCCCTTACCTTTGTATACGTGTACTACCCAATAAAAATAGCTAGACCAACTGCAAAGCAAATATTGCTGCAGCCAACATATTTGTCTAAATGTGATATTTTTCGCCTGTAACACAGCATTCATAATAACGCCTGTTTGCGCCTGCACTATTTATCGCCTATCGTTACATTTTGTGCATTTCAAGTACCTTAGATAGCTCCTGAGAGCATTACACATCCTTTTGGATACGTAAAGTGACCATGGAAAATTGAAAGATTTAGGCAACAAAAGGCAAAGCAATCTGATCTTTGGAATCACCCTTTTTGAAAATATTTCTGTTCTTGGGATTAAGAACTATCGCCTTTGGATTGTTAAATTATCAATCCTGAGATTATAGACTTTTGCTTCCAGCGAGAATCCTATCTTTCGATCAGATTATGATTATTGTTAATGATCGCTGCTGCTTACGAAGAATCTATTTTTCAAGTGTCGTGTGCCTAATGTACTCCATGTTATCTGTCATACCTTCCACATAGCAAAGGAATGAGAATAAGAACTCGATACATCAGACCTGTCATTGCTATATAGAACTACTCAAACATTTTATGCCATGTATCTAACGCCAACCTCTGATCAGCATGTGGTTTACAACTGGACGACAACCACAACTCACCAATGCTAGAACACAGCGCGCACTTCATATACATACTCTCACTGCCCTACTACTTTTTAAGCGCTATATACAGAGTATAAGATCCTTATTGAGTTGGTTCGCGCATCTGACTGCAACGATTTTAATTGCCATGGCAACCATCATGTAATAAGCCAATACAGTTTGTTTTTTGTGATTGCTGCATCACTGTACTGTGCTCTATAAAGTGCACTCCTGTGGAGCGGTGCTTACATTTGAGCCAGCTTCTGTTATACAGCAATAGCATAGGACGAGATGGTTCGCTCTTATGCGTTGCACGTTGCGTAGTTCGAGTAATCGATTATATGGATCAAGTAAGTCACGCGTAGAAGCAGCGTACAGCTGCTCATAGTCACCCTAAGGAGTATAGACTGTGGTCATGCCGAAACAGCGAGCACCTTTTTTCTTCCTAATACCCCTTCCCCTAAGATCTTAAAAAGATACCTGCTTAGTTTTTACCCATTACCGACATGTCATATAGTCTTGCAGCCTTTTTTGATACTTCAACTACTATGATAGAGAAGCTAGGGTTGATCGAGCAAGTTCATGCAAAAGCAAAAAGAAGCAGGTGAGAAAAAAGGATTGATAGTATGGAATGAAATGGGTAAAAAGAATCAAGGGGGGAAGTAAAAAGTTGCAGAGAAGAAAATTTTTAAGTGGTTTCTTCGTTTGCACTCAACGTCCTGTATGTGTAGCCGATAGTCGCTTTTATATCTTCAGCTGACAGTCCACGAAGTACGTTACTGAGTCGTTCCGAAGCAGTATCCAAATCGTCCAGCTCATCAAGACCTTGACGCGGGCAATCTCTTTGCGCAGTGTCAAAGATGTCGTCCACTGGGTTCATCGATGATGAACAATAAGTAAGAAAAAACATGCGGTGGTTTCGCTCCATCACCTTCGTGGTTATCAAGGTCTTGAAGTCATCTGAAACCGCATCGAAAACCAGAACGCGGTTGAGCTGACGTTTTTCGTCAAGCCAGTCGAAGACCTTCTCAAGGAAGGAGACGACGTGTTGAGTGGTCGTTTTGCCATCCGTCATATGTTTCTCTATGGCTAAGAGACCCTTTGCTGAGACAGCAGCAAGCAAGCAGAAGGTGGGGAGGCGATCACCGTTATTCATCATCATCCGCTCCTGTTCCTTCTCTTTCATCGGGTACATCCTTCTTGCATGGACGAAAAATGCCGCTTCACCAATGAAGATGCAGTTGCGCAAAGGGTCTACATCTCGAATCGACATTTCCTCACAAATTGCTCCAACCGACCCGGTTCCGCTGTCACTAGTTGCCTCTGGAAACGATTTGGACTTTTGCATAGTAATGCGCAAGTACCTGAGCAAAGTCCATGGTGCCACTTTGTCGCCAAAGTGTCGCTTAATGGCATCGACGAGGTAGGACACCGTGGCATCGGGGTTGCCATCTACAAGCGCTCGGAGGTACTTGTAGTGGTCCTGTGTCGCCAAAGTGTCGCTTAATGGCATCGACGAGGTAGGACACCGTGGCATCGGGGTTGCCATCTACAAGCGCTCGGAGGTACTTGTAGTGGTCCTGTGTAAGGACCGTTACAGTCTTGCGGCCTCTTTGCTTGCATTGCAGCTGGCCCTTGTTGTAGCACGCAGTGATAGTGCGTATGCTGCCTTCTGGCACATTCAAACGCGTGCCCAGTTTCTTGGATGACATGCCCCTGTCTAAAGACAGAGACAGCAAGTGTTGGAGCTGAGCATCGGTCATCTTGTTATACTTCCGTCTTTTGACGAAAGTAGCCTTCCGACTGCCACTTGGCTGGACATCCTTGGTCTGGTTTGAGCGGGTGTCCATGTCGATGTCTTCCACAGAAACGTATAGGTACCTCAAGTTAACGCCATTCAGATTTATATTAAAAGATGCAAGTAATTTAAAATCTAAACATACCATCCTCATTTTCACCCATAGTGTTTGCACCTTGGTCATGGTAAGCATCGTCATCTTTATGATTTACCATAACATCGATGCATTGAGTCAAATATGAAGTGCATAATGTTAAAATAAATCAACTGATGAAACAATATACATACTGATAGCAGCTGTTTCAGTCAGGCTGACATTGCTAAAGTTTCTTATGAGATTGCTCTCATTGTCTTGCTCGTAGTTGTTAGTAGCGCGACTGGATTCTATGGTGTATAACGTGAAGTTGATAAAACAGATTGGGGTACAAGCTTCTCTTATATTCAAATATTTGCCTTTATATTTAGTATTTGTTTCCTAAAAATTAATTACGGAAGATTGTGAAACATTTTTTTTGGTAGACTTCAAATCTCAGACCACCATTTGCACCTAGAATCATTTTCGGCGTGGCGACCTGGTCGCCACGGCGAAAATGATGACAACGATGACAACGGAAATTTATTTCAAGTGGCGACCGATGACAACGGAATGACAACGGGATTTGGGCAATGTAATTGGTGGAAAATGGCGAATCTACTGGGGAACAGCAAAGGGCGCTCCACTTTTATTTTTCTCTGCCACAAAAAATACTTTACTGTACTCTTTTTTTTAATGTAAAAGCGAAGACGGTTTCAAAAAAAAAGGTAACACATCTTATGACGACCTCGCTGAAGAACATTTAGGCATTGGGGAGGGAGGCCGTGTTTTAATTAGTAAATGGAGCAGAATTGTGTTGACGGATTTTGTTTCTATAGGAATTGGACTCGCTCCAACGATTACTGTTTGAATCTGGTGTAAATCTACAAGGAAAAGAGGTAAAGGCTAGCCGTCTTTTTGCTCGTGAACGTTCTGTACGGCCTTGTGCGTGTTTTTTTGTTTCTTGTGTTAATGATTTCCTGTACATTGTATAGCCACGGTGGAGAATGGCGGTGCTATTTCATATACAACAACAGAAATAACAGCAATAACCACACAAAGCGACGACGGTCTCACGATCCACTAATTCAAATCGCATACAACGACAACCAGTCGAACGAGCAGCTTCTTCCGAACACGACGGTCGTAGTGGCATGTCTCTGCGATTGTTTTTAAAGGAGTGACAGCAGGAACAGTCGGTGGATATGCAATTGTATTACACTCTACTGGCTAAAATAAAAGTAACCACCACACAAAGCGACAACGGTCTCACGATCCACTGATTCGAATTGTACACAACGACCACTAATCGAACGCGCAACTTTTCCTGAACACGACGATTGTTGTTGCATATCTCTGCGATGGTTTTTGAAGGAGTAACAGCAGGAACGGTCGGTGGATATGTGATTGTATTACACTCTACTGGCAAAAATAAAAGTAACAACCACGAAGACGACGACGGTCTCACGATCCACTAATTCAAATCGCATACAACGACAACCAGTCGAACGAGCAGCTTCTTCCGAACACGACGGTCGTAGTGGCATGTCTCTGCGATTGTTTTTAAAGGAGTAACAGCAGGAACGGTCGGTGGATATGCGATTGTATTACACTCTACTGGCAAAAATAAAAGTAACAACCACGCAAACCGACGACGGTCTCACGATCCACTGATTCGAATTGTACACAACAACCACCAATCGAACGCGCATTTTCTTCTGAACACGACGATTGTTGTTGCATGTCTCTGCGATGATTCTGGAAGGAGTAGGGACAGGAACGGGGATGGATATGCGATTCTATTATAGACCAGGCAACAAAAGAAATAAATTAGCACCCGCCAAAAAGAACGACGTTTTTAGCGATCCTAGAATCATTTTCGGCGTGGCGACCTGGTCGCCACGGCGAAAATGATGACAACGATGACAACGGAAATTTATTTCAAGTGGCGACCGATGACAACGGAATGACAACGGGATTTGGGCAATGTAATTGGTGGAAAATGGCGAATCTACTGGGGAACAGCAAAGGGCGCTCCACTTTTTTTTTCTCTACCACAAAAAATACTTTACTGTACTCTTTTTTTTAATGTAAAAGCGAAGACGGTTTCAAAAAAAAAGGTAACACATCTTATGACGACCTCGCTGAAGAACATTTAGGCATTGGGGAGGGAGGCCGTGTTTTATTCAGTAAATGGAGCAGAATTGTGCTGACGGATTTTGTTTCTATAGGAATTGGACTCGCTCCAACGATTACTGTTTGAATCTGGTGTAAATCTACAAAGAAAAGAGGTAAAGGCTAGCCGTCTTTTTGCTCGTGAACGTTCTGTGCGGCCTTGTGCGTGTACTTTTGTTTCTTGTGTTAATGATTTCCTGTACATTGTATAGCCACGATGGAGAATGGCGGTGCTATTTCATATACAACAACAAAAATAACAGCAATAACCACACAAAGCGACGACGGTCTCACGATCCACTGATTCAAATAGCATACAACGACAACCAGTCGAACGAGCAGCTTCTTCCGAACACGACGGTCGTAGTGGCATGTCTCTGCGATTGTTTTTGAAGGAGTGACAGCAGGAACAGTCGGTGGATATGCGATTGTATTACACCCTACTGGCAAAAATAAAAGTAACCACCACACAAGCGACAACGGTCTCACGATCCACTGATTCGAATTGTACACAACGACCACTAATCGAACGCGCAACTTTTCCTGAACACGACGATTGTTGTTGCATATCTCTGCGATGGTTTTTGAAGGAGTAACAGCAGGAACGGTCGGTGGATATGCGATTGTATTACACCCTACTGGCAAAAATAAAAGTAACAACCACGAAGACGACGACGGTCTCACGAACCATGGATTCGAATTGTACACAACGACCACCAATAGAACGAGCAGCGTCTGTCGAACACGACATTTGTTGTAGCATGTCTCTGCGATGGTTTTTGAAGGAGTAGGGACAGGAACAGGGATGGATATGCGATTCTATTATACACCAGGCAACAAAAGAAATAAATTAGCACCCACCAAAAAGAACGACGTTTTTTGCGATCCTCTACTGTTATTCTCTGTCTTTTTACTACTATCGTCATCCCCATCCCCGTCATCATGTCATCATCACCACCACAATAATCATGGACACCATACTGCCGCAAAAATAAACTTGTCATCTGTTGCGTTATATCTACTTGAGCTGTGTATGTTCAGCAGGAGTGCTCGGAGAAATGGTGCTTCCGGCGCCATTGGCGTTTTTTATTGGGCAAAAACAGTGTGATTTCCACAAACTTTTTCAAGTGGCGATCGATGACAACGGAATGACAACGGGATTTTTGAAGTGGCGACTGATGACAACGGAATGACAACGGGATTTTTGATGTGGCGACCGATGACAACGGAATGACAACGGGATTTTTAAAGTGGCGACCGATGACAACGGAATGACAACGGGATTCGGCCAATGTAATTGGTGGAAAGTGGTGAGCAAGACAGAAAAATAGCAGGGGAGCCAGCTCCACTTCTTTTATCATTTATTTTTTTTACTCTTCAGCACACTCGTTTACTGCCGCTTTTTATTCTATACATATTGAAGCAAGGGCGCTTGCAAAAAAAGGTATCTAGCTTAAGGGATGTTTATATGCTGGAAGAGCTGTGGCATTGGGATGGCGAATGGTTTAATCTCTTTTACTAGTAGCAATTGCTGAAACTATTAGCCACTTGACGAGGACAGCAACGTACTCCAGTAGCAACAGCAGCACTACAGCAACAAACGTTACAACAAACGGAAGTTACTGCATCTCACGACAACAGTCAAAGTTAATTACCATACGAACGACGTGCCACATTGAAGTATGACCACAGCACACAGACAGCAAAACTTGCACCAGTCTATACAGTACAGGCCGCTTTTTTTGTATACGCTATACGAGCATGCGAATAAAGAAAGGACAACGTCGAATATATGCGATTAGCTTTCTTCAAGGAGCATCAGCCCTAGAATCATTTTCGGTGTGGCGACGAAGTCGCCACAGCGAAAATGAGTGACCCCGATAAACCTATGTCGGACACGTTTAAGCAGGGAAAAGTGAAATGACAGTGACCAAACAATGACCAAAACTTTATTTGGTCAATGACCAGATTTTTCCCAAAAGGAACAGTGGTGGGGGGAGCATTTGCAAGAATGGGGGGAAGGCGATGACCAGTAGTGACCGAAAGGGAGAGGCGATGACCAGAGGCGATGACCAGCGGAGAAAAAAAAGGGGGAGGCGATGACCAGGGGCGATGACCAGCGGTGACAGAAAGGGGGAGGCGATGACCAGAGGCGATGACCAGCGGAGTAAAAAAGGGAAGGCGATGACCAGAGGCGATGACCAGAGGCGATGACCAAAAATTTCCAAAAGCGTGTACAATGACCAGAGGCGATGACCAGCGATGACCAGCGATGACTAAAATTTTCTAAAAAGGGATTAGCAAAGAAGTATTGATGACAAGCTCAGATGGAAAAAAAAACGATAGCAAGCGGGAGGCAGAAGGTACATGGGAAAACGGCAAGGCAAGGCGAAAAGGGGATAGCATCTTCGGTCATGAGCGCCGTGTTTGGCAAAGCCCGCTCCACAAAAAAATTTTTTTTACGAAAGGCAGCTTCTGCATCTCTTTCGCTCCTTCACTTCTTTTTCCTCTACTTGTTTTTTTTATTACGTACTGCTTGCCGCCATTGCAACATTCGACCTGCTCAATTGCCAACGCACACACGCTCCATTGAATTCAGCTTTGCCGCATCTCACGTTCCTTTCAGTCATCACTCGAGCAACACTTGTCCTATACGCTTTCTTTATTCTCAACACTCGAATATTACGCATCTCGCACTTTTTTTTCAACACCTTTGAACGGCCCTAGAATCATTTTCGGCGTGGCGACCTGGTCGCCACGGCGAAAATGATGACAACGATGACAACGGAAATTTATTTCAAGTGGCGACCGATGACAACGGAATGACAACGGGATTTGGGCAATGTAATTGGTGGAAAATGGCGAATCTACTTGGGAACAGCAAAGGGCGTTCTACTTTTTTCTTTTTCCTTACCACAAAAAAAATACTTTACTATATTCTTTTTTTAATGTAATAGCGAAGACGGTTTCAAAAAAAAAAGGTAACACATTTTATGGCGACCTCGCTGAAGAACATTTAGGCATTGGGGAGGGAGGCCGTGTTTTATTCAGTAAATGGAGCAGAATTGTGCTGACGGATTTTGTTTCTATAGGAATTGGACTCGCTCCAACGATTACTGTTTGAATCTGGTGTAAATCTACAAAGAAAAGAGGTAAAGGCTAGCCGTCTTTTTGCTCGTGAACGTTCTGTACGGCCTAGAATCATTTTCGGTGTGGCGACGAAGTCGCCACAGCGAAAATGAGTGACCCCGATGACCCCGACATTTCAATTCAAGTGGCGACGGATGACCCCGGCCTGACCCCGGGATTTAGCCAATCAAATTAAGAGAAAGTGGTGAGGAAGACAGCAAAATAGCAGGAGAGCTAGCTCCACTTCTTTTATTACTTATTTTTTTTTTACTCTTCAACACACTCGTTTACTACCGCTTTTTATACTATACATATTAAAGCAAGAGCGGTTGCAAAAAAAGGTATTTAGTTTCTGGGATGTTAATTGCTAGAGGAGCAGTGGCATTGGGATGGCGAATGGTTTACTCTCTTTTACTAGTAGCAATTGCTGAAACTTTTAGCCATTTGACGAGGACAGCAACGTACTCCAGTAGCAATAGCAGCACTACAGCAACAACTGTTACAACAAACGGAAGCTACGGCACGCCATAATAATAACGGTCAAAGTTAATTACAATCGCAAATGACTTGCATGCACTGCGGCACCACTACAACATCAAAGCAGCAAAACTTGCACGAGTCTATACAACACACGCCACTTTTTTCTTTACGTTAAACGAGGGCGCGTATAATGAAATGACAACGTCAAGTATGTTGCATTAGCTTTTGTTCAAGTAGCATCAGCCATGGCGGTACGTGTCTATTCTTTTTATTTATCAGGTAAACTGGCAAAACAAAAAGGCAGCAATTCCCGCACGACGATATCTCACTATCCAGTACTCCAAATAACGAACCGCTTAGTGTGCCAGAATCAGGACGAGCTGACGAACGTGCCGCTTGTGGTTTGGTGTCTCTACCATACCATGTCGACGAGCAACAGCCAGAAACGCTACACGTACACTTATAGTGTATCCTATATATATACACCAAAGTCAGCCAAAAAAAGGAGCGATTTCGGCACGGCCATATCTCACCATCCAGTACTCCAAATAACGAACCGCTTAGTGTGCCAGAATCAGGACGCGCAGACGGACGTGACGCTGGTGGTCTGGCGTCTCTACCATATCATGTCGACGAGCAACAGCCAGGGACGCTACACGTGCACCTTTTATTGCGGATCACATATATACACACCAAAGTCAGCTAAAAAAGGAGCGATCACCGCACGACGATATCTCGCCATCCAGTACTCCAAATAACGAACCGCTTAGTGTGCCAGAATAAGGACGAGCAGACGAACGTGATGCTGGTGGTTTGGTGTCTCTGCCATGTCATGTCGACGAGCAACAGCCAGAAACGCTACACGTACACTCATAGTGTATCCTATATATATACACCAAAG